TGCTGCTGCTGCTGCTGCTGCTACAGGTCTGCTGCTGCCGCTGCAGCAGCCACAACGACTTTGAAAAGCAACCCTTTTAGAGCCATTGCAGCAGCATTTGTTTTGTTATTTGTAGTGTTTGTGCAGCTCTAAAGAAGACAAGAAATATCAATAATTAGGGTATAAGCAGCAGCAAACTCAGGTGTATGTACACCTCATGCATACGAGCCAATCTCTGCCCCGCCCCTTTGGTGACCTTGGCTGAAGGGGGCCCTCTTACAACATCACTAAACCCTAAACCCTAAACCCTAAACCCTCAAGAGGCACCCCCTTAGCTTCCCAGTTGTATGGCGGCAACAGCTGCTACTGCAGCAGGAGCAGCTGCTGCAGCAGCTGCTCCAGCAGCAACTGCTGCAGCAGCGGCAGCAGCACCTCCTGCAGCGAACCAGACTCCCCCATAAATAACAAGACGTTATTGAGAAGGCAATAACAACAACAAGTGCTGCTGCTGCTCGAGCAGCAAATACTGCTGCAGCAGCAAAACACCGTCGCTGCACTGAACAGCAGCGCACCTGCTGCTGCAGGAGACAGCTGCTGCAGCGCCTGCTGCCCCTCCCCCTCTCTGTTTCTGTTCCTATACCTCCCCAAATATAAGGAATAGAGTTCTGCTTCCAACAGCAGCAGAAACAGTAGCAGCTGCCGCAACAGTAGCAACAGTAGAAGCAGCAGCAACAGTAGTAGCAGCAGCAGCAGCAGTAGTAGCAGCAGCAGCAACAGTAGCAGCAGCAGCAACGAAACACTGATTTATTGGGCTGTTGTTTGTACTGTAGTCGCTTCCACCTGCTTGGAGCAGCAACTGGTTCTGCAGTGCCGCAGCAGCAAGAGCAGCAGCGCCAACTGCAGCAGCTGCTGCAGTTGCTGCTGCATCTCTGGGCAACTGCAGCATTGTTTTGCTGCTGCTGCTGCTGCTTCTCAGTGCAGTCAGGTGTCTCCTATGTGTGGCTATTGCTTGGAGTGTATGCATGCTTGCCATCTGTAGTCTCTTTAACACGAATAATATAAATATAAAAACTATATAAACATAAAACTGTCTCTTGCTGCTGTCTCTATCTAAGGGCTCTCCCACCGTTTGCTTCGTTTGCTGCGCCCTCCACCACTCAGTCGAGGAGACCCCTCAAGGCCTGTTGTCTCCTCTTCTGCTGCTGCATCACGCAGCAAATCCCTCTCTTCTGCTGCTGCTTCTGCTGCTGCTGCAGCTTCTGCTGCTGCTGCTTCCGCTGCTGCTGCTGTAGCAGCGCGGGGGGAGAGCGTCTCCTCCCTCTCCCGCTCCAATGTCTCTTCCGGTGTCTCCTGCAGCAGCTGGTGCTGCTCTGCTGCTGCTGCTGCTGCGGCTGCAGACCCCAAGGACTCTGTCCCCACGTCTGCAGCAAACGAACGCTGCATAAGCTGCGGAGAAGCAGGGGGAGTCTCTGCTGCTGCTGCTTCTCCTTCTGCTGCTATTGCTTCTGCTTCTTTGCGGGCTTTCTCCAGCAACAGAAGCAGAGGCTGCGCTCTTGCTGCTGCTGCTGCTGCCGCCGCTGCAGCAGCGGAGGCGCCCGCTGAAGCTGCAAGCCCCGCTGTCTTATGGGTTGCTACGCTGTCTCCTAGGGACCCTGACGCCCTCTGGGTGCGCGAAGCAGCAGCAGCAGCAGCAGCAGCAGCAGCAGAGACAGGGGGTGCTATAACTTCAAGCAACATGTCGTGCTCAGACACCAACCTCTCTACTGCTGCAAGCTTGTCTCTCACCTCTACCAGCGCATCCCTTAGTGGCTGCAGCGCCGGTGCTGTTGCTGCTGCTGCTGCTGCTGCTACATTGTCTTGCTGCAGCAGAGGAGGGCTTCGATTAAAGCCCCCTGTGGGGCTAAAGAGGAGACCTGCTGATGCTAAGTAGCAGAAGAGAGCCAAGAGAAGCAGCAGCAGCAAAATAAAGCGCGGAGAGACAGCAGCATGAGCTACCCCATGATTTGCTGCTGCTCCTGAGCGACCTGCAGCAGAGACATATCTTGCTGCTGCTGCTTTGTCTCCTTTTGCATGCAGAGGGATCTCCAAGGGCCTTCTGCTGTTGGGTAGAAATCGGGAAAAGAAGCTGCTGCTCACAGTCTTCGATGGGCTGCTGCTGCTGCTGCCGTTCGTGCTGTTGCTGCTGCTTGTGCTGCTGTTGCTGCTGTTGCTGCTGCGTGTCGCACCCCGCGCTTGAATAAGCACAAGACCCCGAGCGACTCGGGAAGGTACGACAGGTAGAGCTGCTGCTGCTGCTCCTTCTGCTGCTGTTCCTGCTGCTGCTGCTTCAGTAAACTGGCTCTCCTTCAGCTCGCCTCCTGACCCTCTGCTGCTGCTGCTGCTGCTGCTGCTATGCGGTGGAGTTCGTGGGCTGTCTGCTGCTGTCCCCGCGTCTGTGATGTGTTTAGTGGTGCGTCTGTCAACTGCCCCAGCGCCACCGCTGCTGCTGCTGCTGCTGCTGCTGCTGCTGCGTTCATCTCCGCGGTCATCGGAGATAGAATGAGGCCGTGGGGCCCCCCGCTGCAGCACTGCATGCAATTTGCTGTGAGAAGCCCACGCAGCACTGAAGCAGTCTTGAGAGCAAAAGAAGGAAGTCCTGCCTGCCTCTGTGCACTTAGGGCAGCACAGGCGTGAGGAAGTGCTCTCCCCACACCCTTGGCACGTGACCATTGGTCTGCTGCTGTTCCTGCTGCTGCTGCTGCTGCTGATGCTGATGCTGCTGATGCTGCTGGTACTGGTGGTGGCTCGGTTGCGGCGTTGCTGCTGCTGCTGCAAAGCCAACAGCCTTTAAAGAGCAAAGAGACAACTGAACGGAGACAATAATTGCACAGCGAAAATCTCGGTGTTTCAAGGGAGTAGGTAGCTGCTGCTGCTGCTACAGCTTCTACTGCTGCTGCAGCAGCTGCTGCTGTTGTTGCTGCTGTTGCTGTTTGAGTCGGGAAGAGTCAAGAGACACTAAATGGTTACTAATAAAGCAACAATCAGAAAAATTCTGCTGTTATTACCCTCAAGACACAGCAAAGATGGCGCAGCCGCCACCGACTCGAGCAGCAGCAGCAGCAGCAGCAGCAGCAGTTGCTGCTGCTGCTCCAACTGTTGTGACTAGTAAGTCAAATTCCTAATTTGTTTCTGTCTTTAAATGAATGGACAAGGAAAAAGCAAAGGAATAATAGCTGCTGCGGAGATCATGCATTATTGCTGCTACTGCTGCTGCTGCTGTTCGGGCTGGGGCCCACCGTTGAGACTGCTGCAGCAGCAGCTACTGCTGCTGCTGTTGTTGCTGTCGCTGTTGCTGCTGCTGTCGCTGTGACTGGTTTAGATCCTGCTGCTCAAGACAGGAATTTGAGAACAACAGCATCGGGTGTACTGCTGTTGCTGCTGCCAGCGCTGCTACTGCTGCTGCTGCTGCGGGCAACTCCGTGAGGCGCAGCAGCAGCAACAGCGCAACAGCGCAGCAGCAATTGGTGTTGTTGCTGTGCTGCTGCTGGGGGGGCTGTAAAGAAGGGGAGGATCTCCTCGGGTTTGCTGCTGTTGGGGGCAGCGGCACCCCAATGAAGGAAATCATCTGTACACTCGGTGCTGCTCGTGGCGCTAGCTAGCGGAATAGCTAGCTGGCTTGCTAGCTCGCTAGCTATCTGAATAGCTAGCTGGGTGGCTTGCTGGCTAGCTAGCTAGCTAGCTGCCCGTGATAAGGCCCTAGAGTGCCGCTAGCTGGGTAGAAAAGCACCCCGTGGGCATCCAACCCGTAAAGTGGGTGTCCGGGCTAGCTAGCTGAGCTAGCTAGCTTGTTAGCTTTTTATCTAACTATCTAGCTAGCTGATTAGGTAGCTAGCTAGCAGCAGATGTGATGAGCAGCAGATGCCCTACCTCAAGGGCTCACCCGTCTTTGGGACTACGCTTGGCTGGGGACTCCTCTTTGGGGGCTGCTGACTAGCGGAGGCTAGCTGTAGCTAGCCGTAGCTAGCTGTAACTACCAGTAGCTAGCTGCATCTACCCGTAGATAGCAGTAGATAGCCGTAGCTAGCTGTAACTTCCCGTAGCTAGCTGTAACTTCCCGTAGCTAGCTGTAGCTACCCGTAGCCAGATGTAGCTAGCCGTAGCTAGCTGTAGCTAGCTGTAGCTACCCGTAGTTGGTTGTAGCTAACCGTAGCTAGCTGTACCTAGTCGTAGCCCCCCTAGCTAGCTGTAGCTAGCTGTGGCTAGCCAGAGAGACACAAGGAAGACACTCTTTAAAACCAGTACTCAGCTGTACTGCCATCGGGGCCCCGAGTCCCTGCAGGATATCCATATGCCTGCCTAGCTAGCTGCCCAGCTAGCTGCCCAGCTAGCCACTTCCCAAACGGCTAGCTAACTAGCTAGCTAGCCGCTTTGGGGCCTCTGTCGCCACCATGGTGTTGGCCCAAGTGCAGTTCGAAAACCTCAAGACCGCCGCTAGCACCCGCGCAGCACAGACGCACAGCAAACCCTAAGGGCACCCCTAGGGGCCCCTCTAGGGGCCCCCCCTGGGGCCCACCTAGGGGCCCCCCTTGGGGGCCCCTAAGGACCCGCGACGGGAAGGGGCCCTCAGGGAGGCCCTCAGGGAGGCCCTCAAGGAAGCCCTCAAGGAGGCCTTCAGGGGGGCCCCCAAGGGGGGCCCCTGCCCTGGGAAGAGGCACAGCAGCTAAGGTGGAGGCTTCGGCGACTCCCGTTTGAACAGCAGCGAGTCGCTGCAGCACGAAGGTCTGTGCCTCGGAATGACCCTGCTGCTGCTGCTGCTGCTGCTGCTGTTGCTGGTGTAGCTGCATTGAGGGCCCATATGACCGCCACAGATCTGCCAGCTGTTCGTCTAGACGGAGCGCGTTCTGCTGCGCTACAGTTAAGGTACCTGCAGCTGCAGCAGCAGCAGCAGCAGCAGGGGTCCCGAAGCAGCTAATTGGGGGCCTGCAGCAGCAGCCAAGCATCCCTACAGTACATGCAGCCTTACACAGCATGCAAGCACGCGCTGCATTGCACGAACCGCTGCTGCTGCTACTGCTGCTGCTGCTGCTGCCCTTGCTGCTGCTGTTGCTGCTGCTGCATATTTTCCACGCCTGCAGCCACCTGTCCCAGCCGACGCTGAAGAGGAAAGGCCCACAGAGGGCGAGAGAACGAACTGAAGAACTGTGAGCATTTGGGTGCAGCACGCGGCTCACGAGTTGCATGCGCCACCTGCTGCTGCTGCCACCCCCTGCTGCTGCTGCTGCTGCTGCTGCTGCTGCTGCTCGTGCTGCTGTGAGCGAAAGCACTTGCAAGGCAATTGCATCGTCGTCTCCGCTGGTGCAGACGAGCAGCCGAGCGACCTCCGTCTCTGAATCTTCTGCTGCTTCTTCTGCTCCTTCTTCTGCTGCTGTTGCTGCTGCTCTGGGTTGCTGCTGCAGCAGCTTTACGCAAACAGCTGTAACTGCTCTCTGGTGAGTGCTGACGGCCCCCACAGGCAGCAGCACAGGCGTTCCTTGTTGCTCCTGCTGCAGCAGCGCAAAGGCCACAGAGCCGTCTGTAAGTCCCATAACAATCAAGCCGCTGTTGCTGCTGTCAGCAGCAGCTGCTGCTGCAGTTGTTTTTGCTGCTGCTGTTGCTGTGCCTGAAGGGCCTGAGGGCACATGCACCAGCTGGCAGCAAAGAGGGACAGCTGGAAGCTTCAATGAAGAGACAATTTTGGGGCTACCCTCCGCCCGTGCTGTCTCCGCGTCCCCTTGAAGTGTCTCTGCAGCAGCGGCTGCTGCTGCTGCTGCTGCTGCTGCTGCTTCGGCGCTTGCTGCTGCTGCTGCTTCGGCGCTTGCTGCTGCTGCAGCAAAGCCTGTGGACAGACAAAACTTGATCAGCAAGAGACGTGCTGTAGACACCCCAACTAGAACAAATGCATCGTAGGCCTGGACCTGTTGCTGCTGCTGTTGCTGCTGCTGCTGTTGGTGCTGCTGCGACTTGCAGACGTATCCGCATGCAGTAGTAAAACGTGCATTGGCTGAGGGTCCTCTTGCTGCTCTGTTTTCCAGGCAAAGAGTGTGTAAGTGCAGCAGCTTGACTGCAGCAGGATCAGCAGTGGGGGCCTTAGAACTGCCTGCTGCTGGTGCTGCTAGAGACAGCTGATAAAGATTCAGCGTCTGCACTGCCCCGGCGCTGACAAGAAGACGAGGCAGCAGGCATTGCCGCTTTTGTTGCTGTTGCTGCTGCTGGTGCTGTTGCTGCTGCTGGTGCTGCTGTTGCTGTTGCTGTTGCTGCTGCTGCTGAGGCGGCCACTGCTGCAGCAGCGTAACTGCTCGCACAGCTGCGCGGTGCCTCGTGGTGGTTGAGAGGACTCTGAGGCTGTGGGTCACTTCGTGGTTTCCTGTACATGCTGCTGCTGCTGTTGCTGCTGCCGCTGCTGTTGCTGCTGCTGCTGCTGGCGAGCGCTGGCAGTGAATGAGGCTAAGGGTATTGTCCTCTGCTGCTGCACAGATGACAAAAGGAGACAGAAAGGAGACAGCATGAATATCGTCCCCAGGGTAATGTGGATTGAAGGAGACGCAGCTGCGCTGCTGCTGCTGCTGCCGTTGCTGCTGCGGTTGCAGCAGCAATTCCTCTCCTTCTGTCGGGTGCAAACGAGCATCATTCTTCCTGCTTCTGCTGCCACTGCTGCTGCTTCTGCTGCTGCTGCTGCTGCTGCTGTTGTTGCTGTAGAAACAGAGGCAGTGGCCTCTCGAGAAGGCAAAGGAGACAGTCCCTCGGGGCCCTCCTGCAGCAGCAAACGAGCGTTTGCTGTCTCCACAAGGCAGCTGCAGCATGGGGGCCCCCTGAGTAAAGGAGAATGCAACGAGGTCGCTGCCTCTCACGCCAACTGCCGCATGCTGCTGCAGCAGCACAAAGCCGTCTTCTTGCTGCTGCTGCTGCTGCTGCTGGAGTTGCTGCTCGCATTGCTCCTTCTGCTGCTGCTGCTGCTGGTGCTGCTGCTTTAAGTGCAGAAGCAAAGAGACGCAAGGATCCCACCAAGGGCCCGAGAGGCCCCCCTGAGGAAGGAGACAAACAAAGCTGCTTATCTGCTGCACTCTAAGTGCATGCAGCTGCTGAATATGGACTTGCTGAGGCACCCACAACTCGCTGCTGCTGCTGCTACTGCTGCTACTGCTGCTGCTGCTGCTGCTGCTGCTGAGGGAGACTCGAAGAATAAGCACTCGCCCGTCACCTCCGCAGCAGAATATGAAGCCCCGGCAGCAGCAAAGAGCGCAAACGCGTCTTCTGGGGTGTATATCCACCAGAGGCTGCTGCACTGCAACACGGCAGGAGTCCCAGTCCCAGCACTGCCTCAGTGCCTGCTGCTGCTGCTGCGGTGCTGCTGCTGCTGCTGCTGCAGGTACTTGCATGAGCACAACATGCAGTGTCCCGTGTTCATCCCCCAGCAAACAGACCGCAGATAAGACAGCAGAAGCCTCGGGGTGTTGTGTTGGTGATAGAGACAGCAGAGACATGCAGCACATCACTCTGTTCGTCGCGTTCCTGCTGCTGCTGCTGCTGCTGCTGTTGCTGCTGCTGCTGGCTGGCGCAGCAGCCCTGCGGTAGCGCGGCAGGCAGACAGTTGCCATCTCTTGGAGCTGCAGAGCTGAACTAGCGTCATCAGATGCAGCAGCAGTAGCAGCAGAGGCCGCTGCTGCTGCAGGTGTAGCAGCTGGAGAAGACCCAGCGTGCTGCTGCTGCTGTCTCCAGCAGTAGAACTTTACAGCACCTGTGTGGGCCCCAGCCACAACAAGGCCTGCAGCAGCAGCATCTGCAGCTTCAAAGGCATTGTCTCGCTGTGCATCTGCCCAGATGCTGCTGCAGCTGCTGCTGTTGCGGGTCAGCGGCAGCAGCACGCTGCTGCAGGCAGCAGCAGCAGCAGCAGCAGCAACAGCAGGTGATGGAGATGCAAGTGGGCCCAGCGAAAAAGGAAAAACTGATGCGACTCGAATCCCACCAAAGGCCTCTGCTTCTGCTCCTGCTGTTTCTTGTACCAAGTTACACCCTCGCTTCTGCTGCTGCTGCTGCTGCTGCTGCTGTTCGCGCAAAGATGAAAGGAGTCTCCTTAAGGGAGGGAGGAGACAGAGCCTTATGCGGCCATCTGCCCCCCCCAGAGAGAGACACTCGTCAGCAACTCCTGTAGCAGTTATTGGAGAAGGGATGCAGCGCAGCAGCAACCAACGGAAAGGCGCTGCTGCTGCTGCTGCTGTTGTTGTTGTTGCTGCTGCTGCTGTTGCTGCCCCTGCTGTTGCACCTCCTGCTGCTGCTGCTGTTGCTGCCCCTGCTGTTGCACCTCCTGCTGGTGCTGCTGCTGCTGTAGCTGCTGCGAAGTGGGCGACGAGGTAGACGTGTCCATAGTTTGTGGAGATGATTAAGTTGTCTCCTTTTGTCTCCTCGCAGCAGCAGAAGAATACCTCGCGGATGAAGTCCTTGCTGCTGCCTCCTAGCCAGCCGCATGCACCTCTGCAGATTCCTGCTGCTGCTGCTTCTGCTGCTGCTTTTGCTGTTGCTGCTGCTCCTTCTCCTGGTGCGGCTGCAGTACTTGGTGAGGTATCAGCAGCAGTTGGTGAGTTTGCTGCTGCTTCTTCAGCAGCTTCAGAGGCCCCGGCCGCAACCGCAGCAGCAGCAGGGCTTGTTGCCGCTGCTGTTTCAGCTGTCTCTTCTCCTGTTGCTGCTGTTGCTGTTGCTGCTGCTGCAACACGACAACTCCACGTCCAGCTCTTCAAACCTGTACTGGTCATGGCACCTTGTCCCTTATCCAGCGTCCCTTGCATCCCTTTCTGCTGCTGTTGCTGCTGCTGCTGCCGCTGCTGTTTGGGCCGGCTGTGCGGCAGCAGCTGCTGCTGCAGCTGGTCTGGCTGACGTTGCGGCAGCGCTTGCTGAAAAGGAGACAGTGTCTCCTTCGTGGGAGCCTGTGTGCCTGTTGTTGGTGTTCCTTTGGCAACAGTAGCAGCAGCAGCAGCAGGACTTGCTGCTGCTGCTGCTGCAGCTGCTGCTGTGAGCGATGGGGCAGCCGCATCTACACGACCGTGCGTCTGCATTGCTTGAAGCATCAGCAGCAGCTGTTTGCTGCTGCTGCTGAGGTGCTGCAGTAGGGCCCCCCTCAATGTCTGCAAGGCCTCGAGAGGCCAAACCTTGCAGCAGCCGTCTTCTCCTCCTGAAATAAAAACAGGAGCAGCAGCAGCAGCAGCAGCAGGAGCAGCAGCGGCAAGAAGGCCCTTATTTGCTGCTAAAGAACGTACACCCCGTCCTCTGTGGGCCTGTATGGTGTACAGGCAGGGGCCCCTCAATCGCCAAACCCTCACTGTCGCATCCTCGCCCCCAGAAAGCAGCAGCAAACTGCAGCAGAAAGCCTGCATCAGCAGCGACTCCAACAAGCAGCAGCTGCTGCTGCTGCTCGAACGGCACTGCTCCTGCTGCTCCTGCTGCTGCCCTTGGTGCTGCTGGTCCTGCAACAGCAAATCCTCTTGCAGCTGCTGCTCTTGGTGCTCCTGGTGCTGCAGCAGCTGCTGCAGCTGCAGATCAGCCTGCTGCTGCTCTTGCTGCTGCTGCAGCTGCTGCTTGTTCAGATATAGTTGTGGCAGTATGTTGAGGAAGCAGAGACACCATATGCGAGATTTATGTCCTTTAAGGACGGAGACGCATTTAAACGAATTCAGATAAACACAAAGGGGCCCCCCAGCAGCAGAAGCCTCAGCTGCTGCCTGTTGGCTGCTGATTGCATGCAAAAGCTCTCCTACACCTGCAGCAGCTGCTGCTGCTGTAGAGCTTGGATGATCAGCTGCTGTTTCTGCTGCTGCTGCTGCTGCTCTTGCTACTGCTGCTGCTGCTGCTGCTGTGGGCCTGCGCAGCCAAAGCCTTATTTCTCTATCGTCAGAGGCTGACGCTAAGAGGGCCCCCCCAGCAGCAAAGGTGAGAGCAAAGAGGCCCCCTCTATGCCCTTCCAAGCGTTGCAGCAGCAGCACGGAAGCAGCAGAAACAGGAGCAGCAGCAGCAGAACTTGCTGCTGCTGCTGCTGCTGTTTGGCGTGGCCTCAGCAGCTGCGTTGCATCGAGTTGCAGCAGCCAAACAAACACCTCCGAGAAAGCAGTGCCCCCTGCAAGAAGCAGCTGCAGCTTCTTCTGCTGTACCTTGCAGCAGCAGCAGCTGCTGCTGCTGCATCTGCTGCTGTTCCTCTTGCTGCTGCTGCAGCAGCAGCGGTAGTTGCCTTTGGCCTCACCGCTTGGCAGCAGCAGCGCCGGGGTTGCTGCTGCTGCTTGCAGCTGTAGAGACTCCTTGCTGCAGCGCTGCTGCAGCAGCACAGCCCCAGAGGCTGCATGCAGTATACGCAGCAACCCGTTAGAGAGAAACACCAACAGATAAGCGCCCCGGCAGCAGCCTGCTGATTCTCCTGTTGCTGCTGTTCTTGCTACGGCTCCTCCTGTTGCTGCTTCTCGTCCTGTTGCTGCTGCTCCAAGGCAGCAGATCTCTCTTGCTTCCGGTGGTGCTGCTGGCGCTTCTGCGCTTGCTGTTGCCGCAGCTGCAGCAGTTTCTGTTGCTGTTGCTGCAGCAGAAGCCGTTGCTGCTGCTTCGCATGCAGCGTGTGCTGCCGCTGCTGCGTGCGTTGCTCCCTCTTCTGCTTTTGCTTTTGCTGCTGCTGTTGCTGCTGCTGCCAGACCTTCCGGCGCCCCTAGAAAAAGAAATTCTGCTGTGAGTACTCTGCTTCTGTCTTTCATAAAAAATATCTGCTGCAGCAGCAATCGCTGTTGTGTAGGGCAATACGGGGGCCCCTGGGGGCCCCCAGGCCCCTGGAGGAGGGGCCCCCCCCTTGGGGGCCTTTCGGTTGAGGGCCCCCCATCTGGGGGCCCCCTCCACTGTAGCGCATACACCGCAAGACGCTGTGTACCGTAGGCAACGAGGAGACCCTTTCTTTCTTTCAAGCCCAGCACGTGTTCACTGGGGCTGAAGTAAGCTGCAGCAAGGGGGGCCCCCTGCAGCACGGGAGCCTCCTGCAGCACAGGGGCCCCTAGATGCTCTTCCTCCTGCTCCTGTGTCTGAGGAAGCCAAGGGAAAGGTGGGGGCCCCCTTCTGCAGAGGGGGGGCCCCTGCTGCAGCGGGTAGACCCTAATAGTGTTCGCTATAGCAGCAAATAAGAGGGTATTGCAATCGGAGACCTCCACAGCCTTTATGCTCCCTGTACAGCAAACCCTGTCTAGAGACACCAGAGGGGGCCCCCCGTGGGCCCCTAAAGCCCAGTCAGCCTCAGCAGCGGGATCTCCGGGGGCCCCCCTATAAACGCTGCAAAGGGTCCCCATGGCCCCCGGTGGGGCCCCACAGGGGGCTCCAGAGGGGGCCCCTTCTGGAGCCCCAGACGGGGTACCAGTGGAGGGCCCGCAGGGGGCCCCAGAGGGGGCCCCACATGGAGCCCCAGGGGGATCCTTACAGGGGGCCCCAGGGGCGGCCTCACAGGGGGCCCCAGAAGGGGCCCCAGAGGGGGCCCCAGGAAGGTGCCCGCCGGGGGCCTCAGAAGGGGCCCTAGAGGGGGCCCCACTGGGGGGCCCTCTGGGGGCCCCCACGAGAACCATTAGTGGAAGGCCTCACGAAGAATAAAAGAAATAAGATGAAGAAAGCAAGGGTAGGGTTTTGAGGTTTTTAGGGCCTCCGTCGCTCTGACCCTCTGAAGGAGTAAAAACCCTAAACCCTAAACCCTAAACCCTAGCAGAGGTAGCATGTGAGGGGGCCCCGTGCTTCTTAGTTGCAGATCCTGATGCAGTTTATATTCATTCTTTCTTCCAGAATTAATTCAAGAATTAAAAACTATAATAGGCAACCAACCCAAGTGTGGGGCCCCACGAGCGTTACGGGGGCCCCCAGGAGGGGCCCCCCAAATGCCTAAACCCTAAACCCTAAACCCTAACTTCTTTAATTGAAACCCTAAACCCTAAACCCTAAAACCTAATATCCTACACAGTGGAGACTGGGCCATTGAAACCCAGTAGTGCTCGAGGCCCTGACGCTCTAAACCCTAAACCCTAATCTGTAAACCCTAAATAAACACTAGGGGTGTTTGAAACCCTTGCTGGCCCCCTCTAAACCCTCAACCCTGCTGTCTGCCGAGCACTCTACACTGAACCCTAAACCCTGATGCCTCCTCAGCCGAACACACCACGTACTGCCAGCCTAAACCCTAAACCCTAAATCCTAAGCCCTAAACCTAAACCCTAAGCCTCCGTAACAGCTGCTAAACCCTAGCACTTCTGTGAGGCAGCAATCTCTAGGGTTTAGGGTTTTGAGAGTAACAACGGTTCTGAAGCTCCCACCGGGCGAAGGGAAGCCTGTGAATGCGCTGTACACAAGGAAGGAGACAGTGCCGATTGTATAAACTGGCTGTCTCCCTGCTGCTGCTGCTGCTGCTGCCGCAGCAACAGCAGCGGCAGGAGCAGCAGCTGTTGCAGCAGCAGCAGCAGCTGCTGCTGCGGCTGTTGTTCAAGAGCAGCTAACGAAAAACAACAAAGTTG